ACCTTCCTTCCGAGGAGTGGCTGGTGGGTTTGAACCGCCAGCCTTCTGGTTAGCAGTCAAGTGCTTTAGCCACTATGCTACCAGAGCTGTTCAATCTGCCAACTTTTTGGTTAGTAGGCAAGGGCTTAACTTTTTGCGTGACCCAGATGTCTGTCAACAACATACAGCCTTCAAATTAAAAGTAATTTTCATCCCCATCTACTCTGTTTTGGAGGGAACATCAAATTTACGTGTCCATATATGAGTTGACCCATCTGACACCTCCTCAAAAAATATATATAAAGTGAGTCCATGAAGTCCCTACTCCCAGGGAGTGCTTGCTGCTCAACAGACTGACCAGGGCTGAGCTGGATTCAACAGGCTCAACTCACTGCCATTGAGTTGGATCTGACTCATGGCGACCCCTCCTTGGGTTTCCAAGGCGGTATCACTACGGAAGTAGATTGCCCCATCTTCCTTCCAAGGAGTAGCTTGTGGGTTTGAACTGCCAGCCTTCTGGTTTGCAGTCAAATGTCTTAGGTACTATGCCACTTGAGTTCCCAAGCCAGATTAGGGAGGGGAAGTCCAGGGTACTCTGGGGACCCAGAAAGGCAAGGGCACAAGAATCTGAGAAGGCTTCCTGGAGGAAGTAACATCTGAGGCCTAAGAAGTCTGGTGGGAGTGAGATAGGAAACAGAAGGCACAGTCGTGTTCAGGCAGAGGAACTGCAGCTCTGTCCCCGTGGATAAAAGGCTCTCTTCCCCATGGGTTTGTTTTGACAGGAGTACATGCACCATCTGCTCCGCCTGGAACAGCGTGCTGAGGAGCAGTCCCTGGAGCACTGGCTGAATCCACACTGCAAGCCCCACTGCGACAGGAACGTGGTCCACCCCGTGTGAGGTGCTCCGGACCAGCTCGGTGTGTTCCCTTCTCCTAAGCCATCTGTTTTAGGGATGGAGGAAAGAATGTTCATGGGCTTAGGGGCTGCTGAGAGCGTGGCATCATGGGAACCAGCTGGTCGATGGTTTGGGTTGGGCAGTAGCAAGAGCAGAGCAGGAGTGATTGTCAGGAGCTAGATTGAGATGCCCTGGGTGACATGCAAGGAGGCCTGACCCCTATTGAGTCACCAAGCAATCTCAAATAGGGATGTGACCAGCCTTGCATTCCAGGAAGATCTCTCTGGAGATCTGGAGAAAGGTGGCTTGTGAGACTTGACCTTCTTCACCATCTATGGGCTCAGCCAGTGACATGGTCACCAGGATCAGTACCTTCTTTCCTGAATCCCACCTCCAGGCTCTACCTTGGCCACTTCCTCCTACACACCACTGCTGGTCTGACCACAGTTGCCAAGGCTGGGAATCTGCCCAGCTTGCACTTTCCCTCTTCCTCTCCTCTGGGCTTACTCTTTGTTCCACATGCCCTGGACTGCCCAGCACTCCCAGCATTCCCTTCATTTCTTACCTTCCACCCTTGCTCCTAGATGTGGCTCTTGCCCTTCACTGATTGTCTCTCTCTCTCCCTCTCGTACCCCTCTCTTTCTACATCCTGGCAGATAAGGTAGCAAAACCCTTCAGAGCTAAAGCCCAGTGGATTTCCCTCCCCCTCTGTGACTTTTATGGATCAAGCAGGACAGGATGTAGTCAGTTAAGAGAAATCTTTTGTCTTTGTTACTGTCATTGTTTATTTTGTACAACTGAATTGAAATAGGAGCACTCCTTTAGAGTATTGCTTTTAGTTATGTTGATGGTACCTGTTCTGGTTACCTAGTGCCACTCTGAGAGGAATCTACCACAAATGAGATGGCTTTCACAAACAGGAGTTTATTCTCTCACAGTTTGGAGGCTTTAAGTCCAAGTTTAAAGTGCCAGGCTCTAGGGGCTGTGTGAAAGCCCCTTGACCTTAGACTTCAGCTCTGCCTCTTGCTCCTGGCCCACTGAAGCTAGAGGCTTTTCTTCACTCAGACAGCTACTGGCTGATGAGGCTAACAAGCCCAAGGACAAATAAAATGGCACAGTCCCTACATTACCAAACCACACAACAGGCCATTAATTCAAGTCCATTGTAAGTCCCAAGGTCGGCAGAGCATGGCAGGCTGCTGAACAATCACACGGCTACATGCAGGGTTCAAGCGTGCCATAAGCTAGAGACCATTCCCAAACCTGTTTCTTATATATGGGAAGCAGACCACATACCCAAAGCAGCTCCTTAGCTGCTCACAGTAGGTTCCACCATGGAGTTGATTACCATTCTCACCACGGGTAATAACTACATTCAGCTGTCCAGCCACTCAACCAGGCCCAGCCAAGTTGGCACACAAACATAACCACTACAGTACACTTACATAAATTCTCCCTCAATCTTCCTAACACTCCTGTGTCATTGCAGGGCAGGCATCTCTAATCTGGTTTTATAGATGAGCTAACTGAGCATGATAAAGCTACTAACTCATGCTGGACTGTGGTTGGTTGGTGTGCCAGTCTTGTGACAACTGCAAATCTGGCACGCTTTATGTGGACGGCACTGCCCTGTCTTTATGGGAAGGTGTGGAATGCCTTTTGACTGGGTTTGAACCAACAGTGAGAGAAGCATCTGCTAGGAGTGGAGTGCAAGTTCAGGGGCTTGTCCCACACCCCTCTTTTGGTCCTTCCAGCCTTAGGTGGGAGACCTGTTCTGTGTCAGTGCTCTGCTGCGCCTAGGGCTGCTCCTGACTCCCAGGATGCTGTCCTTCCATCTGCACAGAGGACCTTCATCCTCCACCTCTGGAAGCCCTTGCTTGATTCCTCCCAGAAAACAGAACCACGAAGTGGGTGGGAGTCCAACCTCTAGAGTTGGGCAGAGTTGGGTAGCTCTCTGCATCCCAGCTCTGTGGCCTTGGGCTAGTTACCTAACCTCTTGAGCCTTCATTTCTGCATCTATATAATGGGCTAATAATGATTTTTATGGTACCAGATAGTAAAGGAGCTCAGATGGCCCAGTGCCTAAGGCATTTGACTGCTAACCAGAAGGTCAGTGGTTCAAATACAGCAGTTGCTCTGCAGAAGGAATATAGGGCAATCTACTCCCATAAAAATGTATAGCCTTGGAAACCCAATGGGGGTCGCTATGAGTTGGAATTAACTAGATGGCTTTTTTTTTTTTTTTTTTAATAGTAAAGCATTCCATAAGTGGAAGTGCTTATTGTCACTGTGCAAGCTAGATGAGGGGAGGGGGGTTTCTGGGTCGAGTGAGCCCTATTACAACACCGTTCCAAGGGGCAACCCAGACTGCTGCCTCCAGATGTTATAGGCCTTGCTGTGAGTGTCAGGGAATCTGGCTCCCGCAAAGTACAGGAGTGTACAGAGAGGCCTTATCCAGGCAGCTCCTGCTTACATGAAGACAGCAAGCATGTGTCAATTTGGGATTTGGAGTCACTGGTTGAATTATCTTGGAAAAAGATACCTAACTTCCCTGTCTCAGTTTGCTTATCTGTAAAATGGGAATAGTCATAGCTTCTCCCTCACATGATCTGAGGGTTAAAAAAGTCAATGTATGAAAAAAATTGTTAGTTCTGTGCTGGTACATACATAGGAAGTGCTAGCTGTTTGTTCTCATTCTTCTTTTTTCTTCTGCTTCGTCTCCTTCTTCTTTTCCTTCTCCTCCATCATCATCATCATCCTAACATTATCATCTTGTTCTTTTCCAGCAAACATCTTTATAGGCAACAACCTGGATAATGTTGAACCAGGATAGGTCTCCTTCTTTCATTTGTTTTTAAACTGCGGAAATGGATGTCTTCAGACCTTGTGAAGTGTGTGGCTGCCAAAGGTGGTTTTGGGGATCGATGGAAAATATATATACTGCTTCATTTTAATAACCTGCCTAAATCATTAAAACCCATAGCTTAAAGTATAGACCCCCTGCCCCTCCAGTGACCTTCCTACCAGTTTGTAAAGATGGGCAGAATCAGAATCTGTGACCTTCAGAACATTGGAGCAGAGCTGCCCTCAGACTTTGGAGCAGTGAAACACATCATTTGGGGCTGCTGAGTTGTTTTATTTTTCCCCCAAATCACCTTTTATCCCCCCCCCTTTTCTGTCCTAATAAATATTGGTATTAAATTTGCTTTCTGTGGTGTTTCATTTTCTTTCCCAATGAGATGAGAAGGAGAGATTTTCCTCCCCTTTGTTTATCTTTGTGGATCTATTATCAGGAACCTTACTGTTCTCTGAATAAGCAAATGGATAAAGATATGAAACCTGGTACCTTTGTTCAAGAGCCATCCTTCCTTGTGAAGAGAAGTTTGCTTAAGACCAGCTTTGGAAATACAACTATAACCTAATGCCAGGTGCACACCCTGGATTTCTAGCAAAGGAAATGTTTCTTGTGGAAAGTGGGCTGCAGCACCTGTATCCCAGCACCCCTCACCTGCCCCACCACCCACAGAATCAGAGATTGGACTATCAAAGACCAACAAAAGCAAAAATTCTGAGGACAAGGGAATGTGGGCTCAGTGGTTCCAGGGAAAAGAATCTAACATTCCCAAAACAAGGTAAGAAGAGAAGCTTACCAACCTGGGCTACAGAGGTTGCCACGTCTCAAGGACGACTGCAGTGGGTTTGTTTAGGGAGAAGTTACTAATCTCTCAATAACAATAATACCAACATTTATTTTATGCTTACTGGGGTCAAACTGCACTAGGCTTCTACTATACAATACCTTATTTAATCATCAATTTATTTTATGTGGTAGATACAGTTATTATCCTCAATTTATGGATGAAGAAACTGAGGTTTAGAGAGCTTAGACAGTACATTAGTTTTCTATCACTTCAGTAAAAAATTACCGCAAATTTAGAGGCACAAAAAAACACACAAATTTATTATCTTACAGTTTTGTAGATCAGAAATCCAATACATCTTGGACTGAGTTAAAATCAAGGTATCAGGGAGGCTGAGTTCCTTTCTGTAGGCACTAAGGGAGAATTTGTTTCCTTGCATTTTCCATCTTCTAGGGGTCACCTACATTCCTTGACTTGTGGCCACTTCCTCCATCTTGAAAGCCAGTAGCAGTGGGTTGCGTTTTTCTCACATCATACAGCTCTGACTTCCTCTTCTGTGTTCCACTTTTAAGGACTCTTATGACTATGCTAGGAGCTCTGGTGGTATAGTGCCTAAGGCATTTGACTGCTAACCAGAAGGCTGGTGGTTCAAACCCACCAGCCACTCCTCGGAAGGAAGGTTGGGCAATCTACTTCTGTAGTGATACTGCCTTGGAAACCTAAGGAGGGGTCGCTATGAGTCAGCTCCAACTTGACAGCAGTGTTTGGTTGGTTGGTTGAGTGACTACACTGGGCCCACCCAGACAATCCAGGATGATCTCCCTCTTTTTAAGATCAGCTGATTAGCTCATAGTGACCCTAAGGACAGAGTAGAACTGCCCCTTAGGGTTTCCAAGGTAGTAATCTTTATGGAAGCAGACTGCCACATCTTTCTCTTGTGGAGTAGCTAGTGGATTCAAATCACTGACCTTCTGGTTGGCAGTCAAGTGCTTAACCAATGTACTACTAGGGCTTCTTGACTAGGCTATAACCAAACCAAACCAAACTCACTGCCGTGGAGTCGGTTCCAACTCATAGCAACCCCTCCTTGGGTTCCTGAGGCGGTATCTCTACAGAAGTAGATTGCCCAGTCTTCCTTCCGAGGAGTGGTTGGTGGATTTGAACTGCCAGCCTTCTGGTTAGCAGTCAAATGCCTTAGGTACTATGCCACCAGAACTCCGTGACTAGGCCATGTTGTTGTTGTTATGTGCTGTCGAGTTGGACCTGTCTCATAGCAACCCCTCCTTGGGTTTCTGAAGAGGTATCACTATGGAAGTAGATTGCCCAACCTTCCTTCCGAAGAGTGATTGGTGGGTTTGAACT